AACAGTAATGAATGACACTTGTCCAGTAGGGAGATCAAGGTCATTATAGGTGTATTTTGTTATAATCAGGAGGTTTAAAGTTTAGAGGTAGAACTGAAAGGGGGAAAAAGTGACACTAGTGGGGATGGATGGAAGTACAAGGAAGGAGTTCAAAGTCTTGGGGGGAAAACTAGGAGTAAATAAGGACATTAACACTTCAGTCTATTAGAACAACAGGGAGAAGAGCAATTAACTCTTTCAACATTGATAGGTATTAAAGTCATAAACATATTGCATTTGATTATAAGGGAACCAATACAGCACCAATTTTAGGGGGAAAAATACTTATTAGGGTTTAAGATGGGGACGTTCTCTCATATGGAGAGATAACTATGGAGAATAAGTATTGTTATCAGGACCAGGAGTAGAAGGAGGTATAGTTTGGAATAGGGTTAGGAGTGACTGTTCACTTATGTTGCGTAATATTATAGAGAAAGGTCAGGGGAGAATATATGTGTACTTATCTAGTGCAAGCATTAGAAGTTGTTCTGGTTAAGAATTATTGGTTAAAGGGCTATGTAATTTGTAAGGTGATGCTTATAACGGAAGATTTGAAGTCTGTAAAACTTTCCACAGTCACAGAGGGAGTTAAGGATAAGTTTATTACAGTAGTCACTCCAACAGGGAATAATCGAATAGGATGTTGGTAGTTTCCCACTAGAGGGAATTAAGGGTTTTAATTCATCAACTAAATCAACGACTTTAAGGGTAACTTTGGAAGGGATTAATGATACTATGGCAATAGCAAATATAGGAGTATGATACTGACAACAATTGTTCTGAAATTAAAGGAGGCAGCAAGAGAGACTCAGGGGTTTAGGTTATTACGAATAGGGTTAAAATAGAGCAGATAGAAACAATATAGATTAATCTGAAATGGAGAATAGAGATTCGTCATGGAAGCTGCAGTATGGGGTCTTTTGATTTTGATGACAGAGGGGGGGGGGCATCTGATCAGTGCTGCTCGTTCCTCTGTTGTGGAAATTAGAGATAGATTAACTCATTCTGTAGGGTCAGTGGGGAATCTTGAGGGTCCATGTCTGTTGGGAATTCCATCCCGAACCTGTTAGACGGTTGCGCAGCCTCTGTCAGGTGTGGATCAGTTTTGAGCTTTGTCATAACTGTGGAATTGGCAACAGTCATTGACAGATAAAAATAATGTTGTTGTCAAAACAGTAGGGTTTTAAGTGTTCTTGGGTGAAGGGATTACCCTATGAGCATTGGTTAGAGGGAAAGTAAAATCAGGTAATGCAAACTCTGAAGTATTCAGGTGAAATATTGAGGGATAAAAAGTTGTTTTTGCTCTAATAAAACATGAGGTAAGGGGTATGTTTATGGAAGATCAGGGTGATGTTGTATGATAAATTGGATAAGCATGACCTTAAGGGTAGTAATGACAAATAATAGGTTACTTTTTATATATCAGGTAGTAAGAAGAGCAGGACTTTGATGGTTAAAAGATTAGCTTTTGACTGACAATGTGACTATGTGAATTTTAGAGGATAAGGGGAAATTATGATGGAGTTTTTCTTCCCTATGGGGATAGGATGTTGTTTCGGTCAACGTTGAAAATTCCAATGAGGGTTTTCCTTTTTAAGAGGGGGGTAGCTTGGCCAGTAATTAGGGGTTTAAAAGGGGGGACATTACTTTTTTTTAGTCTTTTCGGGGCCAGGCGACTGTCTAGTCTCAAGCCTATCAGAAAAAAAAAGGGGAAGGGGGGGGCTTTACATGGAGGGAAAAATTTGGGGGAAAATAAAGAAAATTTGGAAACGGAGTCCAGAAGCAGAAAACAGGGGAAAAGCAGAAGGGACAGGGAAGCGGGGGAAAAAGGGAGGACGACTTTTTAGAAAAATTTGAGATTGAGAAGGGGAGAAAAGGGGCGGGGGACAAAACCCAAGCCGGGGGGGACGCCGACGGAAAAGTGACAAAGGGGAAAGAGGAAAAAACCTTTGGAAGAGAAAAGAAAAGAAAATTTTTAGTAGAATTTTGAATAAAGGGGGGAGAAAGGGAAGAAAGAAAAAAAGGGAAAGGAGGGAAGAAAGGGGTTTTAAAAGGATACTTTGTTTTTTTATTTTTTTATTAAAATAAAAGAGTAAAAAATACTAAAAAAAAAAATATATAAAAAAAAAAAAAAAAAATTTTCTGTTATATAAAAATATTAAAAATAAAAAGAATTGGATAATTATTAATGAAAATATAGAATATTTGAAAATTTTAAAAAGGATATTTTAGGATTGGATTTTATAGAATTTTTTTGATTTATGAAAAAAAGGGAGTAAAAACAGAGGGGGGGGAAGAAGAAAAAGGGGGAGATTTTAGGTTAAAAGGGTTTTTAAAACGAGAGGGGAAAAGGAAGAGGGAAAGGGAAAAAAAAAGTTTTAAAGGATTTAAGAGGGAGAGGAGGAGAAAGACGGTGGGGGGGGGAGAGGGAAAGGGGAGGGGGAAAAAAGTTTTAGAAAAGGGAAAAGGGAAAAGGGGGGAAATTTTTTGTTACACTATAAATTTAAAATTATAATTATTTTTAAGGGTTTTTAAAATAAAACGGTTTCAAGAAGAAGAAACCCAAAAGGAGAAGGGAAAAAGAACAAAAAAAGGAATTTAAAGAAAGGGATTTAAAGAGGAGAAGGGAAGGGAAGAAAAATTAATAGATAAATGTTTTTTAAAAAATTTAAATTATTGTTTTTTTTTGGAGAAAGTTTTTGTTGGGGAAAAGGGGGGAAACTAGAAGAAGGAAAAGAAAGAAAAATGGAAGGGGGCAGAAGGGGGGATTTTAAAAAAGTTTTTGAGAGGGGGGGGGGACGGGAGGGGAGAGGTGATTGGAGAAGAAAGGGGTACCCTTTTATTTTTTATAATAGGGGGTAAAGTTAAAGGAAAAAAAGGGAAGAAACGGGGGGGTTTGGGTGGAGTTTTAATGGGAATTGGGGATTTTAAAAAAGCCCAAAATTTATGGGAAATTTTAAGGATAATACATTATAATAGAAAAAAAATAAAAAACAGGGGGAAAAAAAGGAGAGAAAAAGGGAGCCCCCAAAATTTTTGAAAAAAAAAGGGAAAGGGAGAAAAAGAAAAAAAGGAAGGGGGGGAAGTTTTTAAAAAAAAAAGAAAAAGGAAGGGGAAGGAAAGGACAGGGGGGAAGGGAAAAATAAATTAAATAAAGTTTTTAGGAAAGTAAAAATTTAAAATGAAATATTTTTGGAATTGTTTTTATAAAAAAAGAAAAGGCCCACCCAGAAAAGAAAGAAAAAAAAAATTTAATTAAAGAAAAAGGAAAGATTTATTGAGGGGAAGGAAGGAAAAGGTTGCCAGGGAGGGGAAGAAAAGGGTAAGGGATAAAGAGAAAATTTTTAAGGAAAAAGGGGGACGAAGGAAGGGAAAAGAAAGGGGTAAAACAAAAGAAAAAACAATTGAAAAAGGGGAAAAGGAAAAAAATGTTTTTAAATAAAAAGAACCCTGGAAAAGGGGGGAAAAGGAGAAATCGAAAAGGTAGCCCCCCCTTTTTAATCATTTAAATTAATTATTTTGTTATTTTATTTGTAAAAATTAATTTAAAAATAGAAAAAAAAATATTGAAATAGAGGAAATTAAATAAAAAGGTTATGAATGGGAAAAAAAGATGAAAGGGATTTAACAAAAAGTTGGAAGGAAAGGGGAAAAAAAAGAAAAAAAAGAGCCGGAAAAACAACCGAAAAAGAAAAAAAAAAAAAAAATTTTTAAGAGGGGGTTATGAAGAATGTAAGGGGAGGGAAAAGGGAGAGAAAATTTTTTTAGGGAAAGACTGGAAAGGAATTAAAAGAGGAGAGAAAGGGGGGCCAGAAAAAGGAGTTTTATTGGGAAAAATTAAAAGAATAATATGATTAGTATATTAAAATATTCAAAAAATAAAAATTGGAAATTTTTAAATTTATTTTTAATAATTAAATATAAAAAAAGAGTTAATATAATTTTGGGAAATATTTTTAATGTTTTGACCTTAAATTTCCCCTAAATATTTAATGGATGGGAAACAAGTCGGCAAAATTGTTTGTCGATCAAGATCTGAAGATTTCTTGAGAGTTCTGAACATATCTATCTCTTGGGTTCTGGAGTGTTTCGAATCGGAATGGAATTCTAATTCTGTTTACCACACGCTCTGGTCATAAACAAAATGAAAATAATTTTCATTTTTTATTGATTATACAATATCGAGTAAGCTAGTGTCTTAACACCCTAACAATGTTTATGCATCACTACAAAGAGACCGTGCGTAAAAGGGCGGAACAAGCGCACTGACATCGAAATGAGTGCCCTCAGCCCTACGCTTTTCCTCACCTGGGCAGTGTGCGCGTACCCGCGCCTATAGTCATTTTGTCCTATCTCTCCAGTTCAGTGCGTTGTACACAAACTTGCACATGTGTACAAAGCATTCAGAAAACAACTCATTTTTGACCATATTCGACTATCGAGTGAAATAGAGCCATCAGAAAAGGATGCTATGAATAGAGAATTTAAAGAACTGTACAGGCAGTCTTCTATTACAATAAAAGGCTCTGGCTATAGGCATTCCATGTTGGTTAGACAAACAGAATTACAATTTGATATATTCTTGAGTCCTATTGTCTGTTATTTATCAAACAAAACGGAAATAGTTCACCAAGAACAATCAGAAAATAATAGTATTTTAGACAGAGGCTGGCTACTTTATGCCAATGCAATCGTATATGACTGAGGCTGAACACACGTGTAGTAGAGAATTTGTTCAGGTAACATTGTACTATGATATATGCGAACGTTACAGAGGCAGTAGTATGGAGCCAGACAACTCATGCGCAGTGAGTTGTCCACTCACTGCGCATGATGTAACAGAGCATCAATATGATGTAGCTACTCCATCCTAAGGAACTGCGATCTCAGAAAATAGCACATTATGCAGCTTTTTGAAACGTTGCAGTTATTACCCCAGGCCGGGTGACGTGGTTAATCACGTGACAAAACGCGGAAGTCGGTCAATATTGTTACATTGTTGCAGTCCAGCAGCGATATTGTTCAGAGCTGTGTTGTGACTCTAACTTGCGCAGCTAACTAGTTCAACTGGAGTGGTGGAAACAATTGTATCTTTTAGCGCGGAGAGTGTATCCAGGAGTTGCCAAAATGCTCAATGCACCTGCCGCCGAGAGAAATAAGGAGCCCATCCTTGCTGTGCTCCGTGAGAGTGTGGATACGGCGAAACCGTTGAATGCTCTAGAGATATCGTCTGGTACCGGGCAACATGTCACCCACTTCGCACAGGGTTTACGAAATATTACCTGGCAGCCGTCAGAATTTGACAGACAATCTTTAGCCAGGTGAGTTTAAATTATTCAAAATAGGTTATTATGAATTCATAGTAGGCCTAACTCTTTCTTTAGGCCTACATCAGCAGCTATTGTTTTTTGTTGATGCTTACAATGAGAACCATCTATTTTGTCCCCGGCACCAGTATAGACGCATACAGAGCGCATCACAACCTGCCCAACGTGAAGCCTGCCATCCACCTCGACGCCTCTCTACCCTGTGAGAACTGGGGTGGGATCCAGCCCGAGTCCTTGGACCTGGTACTCAACATCAACATGATCCATATCTCCCCTATGGCCTGCACTGAGGTAAATACTGGTTAGGCCTACATATTGTCCAGAGAGATGCTCTTTTAAATACAAAGTTAATGGTCCACTAACTGATGATACATAATACTTTTATTGCATACTACTCATTATTACACTACTCATTATCGTGTGATGTTATGTTTTTACTCACAGGGTTTGTTCAAAGGAGCAGGAACCATCCTGAAACCACAAGGAGTACTGCTGACATATGGGGTATATTATAATGGTGTTACAAGCACTGTGTTGACTATATCCTCAACCTGATGTTTGCAGTAAATAAGCATGTAGAAGAAAGCATGTTGGAAGCAATATTGTGTATTTCCCATATTTAGAACTGGAACTCCCAAAAAATATGCCACTTCGATACAGCTACAACTTTTTGTTGCAGGTTAGGAGAACTTACTCGGGCAGGTCAGGAAAATTAACGTAGCAAGTTAGGAGAATTAGGTTAAGGTTAGGAAAAGGATGAGGGAATATACTCTCCTAAACTGCTACTAAAAGTCACTTGTATCAAAGTGGCGTGTTTTTAGGGAGTCCCATTTAGAACTCACTGTGAAAAATTGCCCTCATGAACTTATCTTACGTCTTCTAATATTGTCTATAGCCCTATGCGTTAAATGGACAGATCACTCCACAAAGCAACATCGACTTTGACCTCAGTCTAAGATCGAGGTAAGTGAGAACTACAATAATGCCGGAATCTGAATATCTCTGCTTTTGACCTCACATTATTGAAGCAAATAACAACTCACACTGTTGATGTCTTATAGAAATCCAGAGTGGGGCCTAAGGGATGTCACCCTGCTCAGGTCTGTGGCAGAGAAGAGTGGCTTGTTCCTGGAGAAAATGGTAAGAAGCGATACTCCAAATATCAGTCATTTAGGATCTTCATAATGTGTGAATGAAACCCAATGCTCTGCATAAGTAACACAAACATGTTAAATGAACTGTGTTTGACCAAATGTATTATAATAGTAAAAGATGCAACATTGAAATATACATTACCCATTTCTTACCTCAAAATGGGTGAAATACTTTGTGATGCCTGCTTATAACCACTTTCTCTCCTCGTAACGTTAGGTTGACATGCCAGCTAACAACAAGTGCCTTCTGTTCCGGAAGGAGAGTCTGGTGTGAAGTCTTCTGCTGGCTCTGGGGTTGCATTCCAACATCACAAATGTACCATCCCGCTCCTGTCTGTACAGGGTGTAACATGACCAGTAATGTATATTTAACACTTTGTTGAAAATGAACCTGAACTGATACCTTATTTGAATCAATGCCATTTCCAATCATTCCCTCACCTCCCAACTGCTATCTACACACAGGTGATTTGTTTGGTAACTTCAAAATGTATGGTGCTCACTTTTATTGATTAAAATGAATAGGATTGTTGTAGGAAGGTGTTTTTGCATGACACCCACATCAGAAAAGTGTAGAAAAAAGTATTTCATTTTTTAAATCAACCTGGAGTATTAATTTACTATTAAGAAGTATGCATTGAAGTTATGGGATTTCAAAGAAGGACAAACATTACACTACAGCATAGAATAAACACTAGTAAATAGTACAGCACGTTACATTGAATACAAATTAGCTTACACATGAAACATTACATTTGAATAAATCTATTTGAATAATGGTATTTACATATCTTGATTTGTTTGTGTTATGTACAACATTGGCATTGTTTGGAAAGTCAGTGCTTGATTTTGCTTGAGAACAGTCAGAAAGAAATGCACTGTAATTTGATTCAGTACATCATGGCACAAACTCCACCCAAGAGTTTCTCACAACCTGTACGGTGCATTCCATTTCAGCAACTGTCATTGTGGGGCTATGCCATTGTATATTAGTCTTGTTATGACAGTCCACATTGAGGTGTTCAGTCCTAGGGCTCTATTCAATCTGTATTGCTGAAGCGTTACAGATTGCGTGATAGAAATGTAAAGGTAATTTCCTATTGAGCCGACATATGCAGTGTTTACCGTGAATGCAGTCTGCTAATGCGAGAACATTGCCTTTAAATTTCAATCGCACTGTAACGCTGAACTTCCGCGATACGAATTGAATAGAGCCCCTAGTCCCGGAACCTCTGCAGCATCTCACAGGTCCTCTTCTCCAAGACTTCATGAATCCTCTTCAGCCTCTTATCAGAGATGGGTCTGACATAGCTGTCGGGCTGTATCACGGCCATGCCGTCCTGCACCTCCCCCATGACCAATAGGGGGCCCTCCTCCATGGTGATGTTGGGGCAGGGGCAGCTCCAGTCCATCTTAGCCAGGGTCACCTCCAGGTGCTGGGTGTTAAAGAACGCCAAGCCCATCTTCTCGTCGCGGAGGATCTTTTCTAGACTGAACCGGGCGATCCCAGAATCAAGGTCCTCGATCAGTTCCGTCAATCGACCGACGATGGCGAAATCGCTCCGGCACAGGCTCGGGACGATTTTACCTTTGACCCGGCATGTTTTGCAGGCTCGTCGTTTGGACTGCGGGCAGTTGGCCTCACACTCCTTCTTGGATCGGAAGCGGTTGTCGTTGCCCTGGCAACCGCCGTAAGCGAAGGCCTGGCATTGTTTCAAGAGGGAGTTCCAGGCCCAGTGGGCCTCCCAGCTCTTGCAGGGGCCCTGGACCGCGGGTAAGGAACAGATCCCCATCCCCTCCCTCTGGCAGGATGCCCGGCACTCCTCGTAAGTCTCGAAGCGGTTGCGGCTGTCATCGCAGCCCCCGTTGGAGAAGGCCAGGCAGGTGCCTTGCTCGGCATCATAGTACCAGTCAACGTGGCGCTCGGTGGAGCACTCCCGCCGGTCCACCTCCGCCAGGCAGTCAGCGGGCGAGAACGGTAGCCCCATGGGCATGCCTGCCATCTCGGGTTCCTCGGAGAAGACGTCTTCCTCGGCCCGACGGATGACGGAGAGAGGGTAGTCAGCGCGGAGGACCCCGGCGGCATTTCGGGCAACGCAAGTGTAGATGCCCGTGTCCCACACCTGGGCGTTGTAGACGACTAGCTGGCCGATGTTTGTGATGACCACGTTGCCGTACATCCGGTCGGGCCGCATTACCAGGCTCTCGTGGCGCTCACTCTGCTTCTCCCAGGTCACGACAGGCCGCGGGACACCCATCACGTCGCAGTGGAAGCTCACCGTGCCGCCTATGTAGACCGACTGGTGGCTGGGGTTGGAGAAGAGCGTTGGGGGAATGGGGTCCTCCAGGGAGGACGTCAGCGTGGGGTTCGCTGTTGTGTCCTGGGGGCAGTGGACTTGTTTGAGGCCCGGATAGATGAAACCGGCAGGTCACCACGGTTAGTGTCACACCCCGTGTACAGGCCTCAGCGTCCATGTAACACTTGTTGAAGTAGGTGAGTCCGTCGGAGGCACAGGTAAAGCTGGGCTCCTTCTCGCAGTGGTCCTGGCACTTGCAGATGGGCTGGCCCTCCCAGATGTCGCAGGTGGCCCCCTGTTGACTGCAGATGAAGCCCTGGCAGGTGGCGATGGAACCCTGGCCCCCGGAGCCCTTCCCTCCTCCGCCCTGGCCATCCGGCTGAGCAGGGGTGCCATCAGAGAAACGGGCGGCCACACAGCTGAAAAGTCCACACACGTTGGTGCAGCACTTCTCAAAGCCAGCACAGTCCTGGGGAATAACAACAGGCATTTACTGAGGCAAAAATGCATAGTATTTCAATACAACTAATAGCAAGTGGTAGGCCTAATACAATAAATAGAAAATATAATGAACTTGTAGTCATACAGTGTAACACATTTCCTTACAATAGTTTAAGTTTGTCATAAACAAATGACAAACAATGGATTGTGGAATTAAATAATGAATAAATATAAATGCCTCACCTGGTCAACTTCACATTCCCGTTCGCAGGTGCTTTGTGCATCAACCCAGAGGTTGGCATTCAGCTTGTTGGGACAAACTCCTGGATGTTCCACTTTGGAACCAGCTAGACTTGCACTCCACGTCTGTTGTGGGAATGTGCAGAGGCAAACCAAAAACACAAGAGAGGACCAACCAACGCGTCCTGATAAGAGTCCTTTTGGGTATGTAAGTGCTTTTGGCTGGTGCTTGTCCACGTTCTTTCCACCTCCAACCCCTCGACGGCTGAGGGATGTTCTATTCATTTTAAAGGAACGTTTCATGAAAGTCATCCATCAACAAGTTCAATAACTTCCGTGCAGCCCCTCAAGAAAATACGTACATTCTGTTCAAATGCAGCCATCCAGTTTGTGCGTAACCAATCTGTGTACAAGTGCCAATTTGTTGCTCGCGGTGCAAGAGAAACCGTTCTCAAATTTCAGATGAATAAACCATTGTCCAACAAAAATATCTCCCTGTGCGCTGGACATTGATTCAACAAGTAGCCTCGAATAAGAGGGAAAAAATAAGATCTGTGGAACCACTCTCTGGTTTAATAAAATCGCAAAACCGTTAGAATTCAACAAGAACTGCACAAAATCATAGGTATTATCTATACTGACTTCCAAGGCGTGCGGAGTCAACTCACTACACAAAGAGATAGAGAGACGCAATATTGGTGTGACTAGAGGTAGGGCAGCCCCTCTGACCGCCCCCATGGTTGTCCAGTGTCTGAAACTTTTATGAAGGAGCACCATGCGCTAAGCAACTGGACAAACATTGTAAAGACATCAAAGGAATCGTGATAGGTCCGTGTTGTCAAGCTGTCCCAACAACCTACGCACCGGGCCAAACATTCCGGTGAGAAATCCATCAACGTTTCATGGGTCCAAACAGAATTTATAGAAGTGTTGCTCATATAATGCTCATATAAAATGGGCCATGATTGAGAAGTTTCCTAACAAGAGGTACTTTTTGTTTGCTAGTGAACATCATGCACACTGATAAATAAGTTGAAATAAGTGGCTAATTCCGTTTTTTACGCATTCCACTTTTACGCAATGAGTAGGCTATGGTGTAATTTCATCCAGTTGATCTAGAACATATTCAATGTTGATATTGAATATGTCATGATGAATATAGACAACTTTTTTAATTTGGGATTAATAGACAAGATAGGCTATCTGAATGAGAAATAATCAAACATTTTGAGGAGGCGCGCACAGCAGAACTGGCAAGAAATATGTGCAATTTGACACCGATTGTGCATGCATTTAAACATGTTGTTTACGTTTGGTTGTGTTCAAGTCGAAGTCTAGACGCGTCGGTCAGTCTACACCCATCATTCACACAAAGCTCAGAGATGCCACGGTCAGGTGGCAAGACGTAAAGGGCCACATTTTCAATGGTGTGCGACTCATCTTTGTCTCGACGCGGCTCAAAGGGCTATGAGAAGCAAACTCCCCTCGCTTTCATTGAACGTGACCCTTCAACCTTCGCGTGACTTTTGACCGCCGGCATTCAGAGCCGCCGCGGAGAAGTCCTTGGGTTAGCGGCGAAGAAGCCGCGAGCCAGGGCCAGGGGCTGCCGAGCCTATAACCCGGGGGCGACTAATCAATTCAGAACCCCCATCGTTTTATTTCACTTGAGCATGATACCGACAGCCAAGGGGTCGAAGAGGACAAAGAGAAACAAAAAATTCCCACCGCTCGCGCACCGACCTTGCCTAAGCTTTGAATAGCCAATAATATCACCACAAAATTCAAGCTAGCAATAAAAACAGATTCAAAAAACAGATAAAAAGGACACCTTATGGCACAACGGGGACTATGAAGAGGCACAGCCATTTTTATATATTTTGTATTGTAATTTGCACTGTATTATGTAGGTAAGTGGCCTTGCACGAGCCTTGACTTATGCGAGTCAGAACGGCTCATAGGACAGGAGCCATCTCCTGTTTTCTGAAGCATGAGGCAGAAACAGGTGATATGGTATTATGTAGTGTTATGTATTTTATTTGTTGTGTTTTGTTTCCTGTTTGGACGCCAAGAAGAGTAGGTATCCTAATAAATAAATACTAAATATGAGCATGAGCAAAAATATACAACAAAGTTATTCAGTAATAAATCATTTTGAATAAAAAAATACAAGAGTTTAATTACGGGAAAACCATTGCTTTCCATGGCAACTATTAAGCAACATTTATTTTCAAAAATAACTGTAGCTCAGTTGGTAGAGCATGGCGCTTGCAACGCCAGGGTTGTGGGTTCGATTCCCACGGGGGACCAGTATGAGAAGAAAAAAACATTATGCACCCACTAACTGTAAGTCGCTCTGGATAAGAGCGTCTGCTAAATGACTAAAATGTAAAATGATCATCATCCTTACAATCAACTCAGCAGCTTATACCACATACAGGTAGTGCTTATAATACCCAGAATAATGATTATTTTCCTTTCCCTTTTATTTAATAAAAGGGCGTAGAAACAGATAGAAAAATTGCATGCATCTGTTTTAATCTCTTGCAGTGAGCATAGGGAATGTCTCAGTGTAAATACATTCTAAGAATTTTGTCCCTTTATAAAAATATAAGACACCAAAAAAAAAAGAATATTATTTACATTCATAAACAAATGGGTATAAATAAAATTGTGAATATGAACTCTTTTTTTTACTAAGTCTGTATGAAATGTGCTTTATATGGAGAAATTGAAGTTCACTGGAGTCCAAAGGTAGTAAGTCACAAGTTAACATAACAACCCTTTAACAAAGTGATTCAGATGAAAGATATTTTAGCCCTGTGCTGCATTCCCCCAAAATCCTACTTATACCTCAAGATAAATCAAGATACCGGTAAAAAGCCAGGCACATATTGGTTACTCACAGGGCAAAGGGCCATGAATGAGCAAACAGACTTGGATCAACACACGATTTCACCATTGGCTCTCTGTGCTCTCCGTTCAGCATTAAAGGTAGACTCAGCTAAATGACATTGCCACGAGCAGCACCGCACATATGGAGATGATCAAGATGCAAGACTTCGCTCTTACACAGTCTCCCGAGTGGCGCAGTGGTCTAAGGTACTGCATTGCAGTGCTAGCTGTGCCACTAGAGATCCTGGTTCGAATCCAGGCTCTGTCGTAGCCGGCCGCGACCGGGAGACCCATGGGGCGGCGCACAATTGGTCCAGGGTAGGGGAGGGAATGGCCGGCAGGGATGTAGCTCAGTAGAGCATGGTGTTTGCAACGCCAGGGTTGTGGGATCGATTCCCACAGGGGGCAAGTATAAAAAAGAATGTATGCACTCACTAACTAAGTCGCTCTGGATAAGAGCGTCTGCTAAATTACTTAAATGTAAATGTATCGGTGCCTGTGCACAGGTTCGCTTCACGCTGTTCACAGCCTGGTAGCCACGGGACCAAAACAGCATAGAAGTTGAGCCTCACAGTTCAACACTTAGATGTTATGAACGTTTCCCCCCTCTATACGGTTTACTTTCTGCATCGACGTCATATTGCTGAGTATACCTTTAAAATGCGAACAGGAAGGGAGAGCAATCTGATATTGCACCCATTATTCTGAAATGAAACCAGTGTAATCTACAATGACCCTTTGCTATAACAGCTTTACCCTATTTACTTTGAATCTATCATATGAGCACAGACCAGACTGGTGTTATGTTCTGGTGCTAAACAGGACAAGGACACAAGTCAACAGACAGAGCAACACACTAATGACAGAAGATCAACAGATGGATGGGCATCATGGACACATTCAAACGGACACACACAGAGAGTAAAAAATAAAAAATAAATTAGCTGCAGTTTCAATATTTTAAGTGTTCTAGTTGTAGGCAAATCCGTGTGAGATTTGGAAAGAATAATCTCTCAATGTGTTTCTGAGCCATATCAAACCAGGGTCATGTTCAGTAGCCAGCAAATGAAAATAAAATAGACAAACAAGAAAGGCCAACCTGAGCTTGTCCAATAAGAAACACTCTAATATTTGGTTTCCGCTGCAAAACGTTTTGAAACGTTTTCCATCGCATGTCCTGATGAACACGACCCAGACATAGGCTATAAGTATTGAAGAGGCGGGACAAAGTCTCTTTGAGAGGCATTATAATACAATCCAAACACAAACTCCCAAAACATTCAAGACGAAGTACGAAAGAGGTCAGTGCAAAGAAATCCACTGGAAAACAAGCCGACCGATTAGCATGTATGTACAATAAGTCTTTGCTTAAATATCAATATACCCAGTGAGTCGGTTCATTAAGAAGTGTTCAGAGTCCTCATACTCTCTTGTAGTGTTGACAGTAAGGTGAGTGATGACAACACAGCTTGATGAAGTCCGAGAGGCTGTATAGAGAGAAATAGTCATGTTGTCTTTTTGTAGGCACTAACTCCGCCATGGTTCGTTGGACAAAGCCTATGGAGAAAATGAATGGCGTTTTTGGATAAACACCGAAAATAAGGTCTGTGGTAAACACAGGCTTAGATCTTATATGTTTTGTTCTATGAGATCATCTTCATCAGCTAATGTCACTTTGTGAATTTTGAAGCATTTAGGTACTTAAAAAAAGTACATAAAGGCTTCATTATTCATAAAGGTTATGTTAACTGACTGATATTATCTCATAGAACAAAATGTACTGTATAAGATCTCATAAGCCTGTGTTAACCTCAGACCTTATTTTCTGTGTTTATCCCAAACCCCAATTTTTTCCCCATAGGGATGACTGAACGAACCAGAAGCAACTCACTTCCGGGTTTTAGGACTTCAAACTGGCGAGCTCTATTGGTCACAGCAGGTGGTAGCTGTGGGTTTAACGGTGACCCACAAGATGGCGCTAGGGGCTCAGAGAGAGTGAACGCCATAGCTGACTCACTCACAGCTCTTACAGTTCCTGTTGTGCATTTATGCATCTCCAAATCGGGGTCCCTGAGCACCCCATAGAGTGATAGCATTAGGCCCAATGGGAGGCCTCAGAAGTTCCTCCCTCGCCCCTCACTAGGTGATCATACAGTTACTTTTGCTGCTACTACTCTTGGGGGGGCTCTGAGGCGGTTTAAAGGACTTGGAGTGTTTCAGACTGTTTGCCTTATTGCTACTGCCGCTCACGCTGCCGCCCGCCGCATTGGTGGCCATGGAGTAGGAACGTCCATGCATCATGACAGCATTCATGCCGTTGGCCATGGAGAAGGACTTGAGATGGGACTTGATGGCCACGGGGAGAGGCAGCTTGTCGATGAGGTGGACGGGGGTGCATGAGACGATGGCCCGGCAACACAGGTCCTGGAGGCTGAACACTGGTGGGGAGGGGGATGAACAGGGAAGGCCATAGTAATGTTGTATTACATGCGATAACATTATAGCATAGGACATGACAACATTCTAGTTGTATTACTGGTTTATTTAGCAGGGGAGACAGCTGTTATTGTGTCAATGATGAGGAGAGCCCAGTGTGCTTCCTCCCATGAAATCAGAACACGGCAAGCAAGATACAACCACCTTTCATTATTCCGAATAGATAAGAGCGTCTGCTAAATGACTCAAATGTAAGGTAATATATTCCACATATCAATCAAATCAAATAATTGAAGGGTCGCAAAATCAAATAACAAACAAGCCTAAGTTTCCTCACACCAACTATAACCTTTGACCTTTCCCATTGTTTTACTGTACCCTAAGGCTTCCCAATCCAAGACCCTATAGTGGCTGTAACTTTAGTCTTCCCTGGTCTCCTCACCTCGGTTTGGTCTCCAGAACTTCTCCATGCCGTGCCTCATCAGCACGATGCGCGACAGCTCCGTGAACGACTCGATGACGTTGAAGTTGCACAGCGGGCTGATCTCAAAGAAGGTCATGCCGTTCTTCTCTGCATAGGCCCGGGCCTGCTCCGTGGGCACCTGCCTCTTAAAGGCCAGGTGGAGCCGGTTGCCTACTAGGATGCGGGGCACCCCCGGGGCATGCTGGGGAAAGAAGAGAGAGAAAGGGTTGGGATAAGCAAGCAATAGGAGGATGATATTGAGTGAAGGGATTGTTTTTGTTAACAACTCCTATCTTGTTTACGATTCCTTCTATCAAATCACACACACACACCCTCTCTCTCGCACACAAACCCTGTCCGAACAGGAAACACAGGGACAATGCTGCTGGCCTTCTCAAGGCAGGAAGGAAACAGGAAGAACAGAATCACCTTTATTCTGCAAATACATTTGCATGTACAGGAATTTTTCTTGGTGACATAGTGCGGTTACAGAGTCAGACAGACAGAAAATACAAAATATAGAGAGGCAGAATCCATGTACAGTGTGTACACTATGGCCACTGAAGCTAAAAACTACAGACTATATTATTAACACTAAGCTACATTATAACTATACACTGAGTGACATAGACTGACCAGGAGAATCCAGGTGAAAGCTAAGATCCCTTATTGATGTCAGTTGTTAAATCCACTTCAATCAGTGTAGATGAAGGGGAGGAGACAGGTTAAAGAAGGATTGTTAAGCCTTGAGACAATTGAGACATGGATTGTGTATGTGTGCCATTCAGAGGGTGAATGGGCAAGACAAGATTTAAGTGCCTTTGAATGGGGTATGGTAGTAGGTGCCAAGTGCACCGGTTTGAGTGTGTCAAGAACTGCAACGCTGCTGGGATTTTCACACTTAACAGTTTTCTGTGTGTTACAAGAATGGTCCACCACCCAAAGGACATCCAGCCAACTTGACACAACTGTGGGAAGCCAACATGGGCCAGCAACATGCGGAAAAAGCTATTCAGGTGGCGGGAGGTTTTGGTCGTGATTGACCTGAACTGTTTGCCAGAGGGGAGCCTTTTGATAACAACAGCAGACCCTGAGACTACAGCCTGTCTGCCTGACAATAGTTCTACATGTCTAGTCATTCTACCACCTACAAACTGCTATGGTGGATTTCATTTGAGCCATTACTGCAGCATGATGAGGCAGATATGCTGTTTAGAATGAGGACTTGAGTCATATTGTCAGATGTGCAGTGTTAATGATCAGTCAGCAAACTAGCTTACCTCATCAATCTCCCGGATCCAGCGGTCAATGCCATCAAACGACCAGCCATTTGTGATATCGTAAACTAGCAGGATTCCCTGTGGGTTGGGAGGAGTGGGTGACATGAACAAGCATTACATCTTTAATCAGTAAACAGTCCACTTGTCCCTGATATAGCCTAGAATCTGAAGCATCTTGAATTAAGGGGTCTAACTCACCTGTGCCCCACGTGAATATGACCTGAAAATTGTGCAGAATCGACCCTGTCCAGACGTATCCCTGTTGAACAAAGAATGACCCTGTTACATTCCATTTAGCTTTCTGTCAATGAGTTTTCTACAAGTATTATACAAGTATTTTCTACATGTACCATAATTCTAACTTGACTCTTCTCCCATCCAGCAGGATCGTGGTAGTCTTGTAGTCAATCCCTGAGAAAACAAACATGATCATATCAGACCGCCAGCCCAACCTTAGATCAATCCCTTGTAGTTTGAGATTTTCATCTTAAAACAAGCTTGATAACCTAGGACAGAGAGTATAATGGTAACTGGCCAGTTTGATTCCAGAGTACAACCCACTGACTAGTATGTATTATACTTCATATAATGTATACATTTGATATATTCTAACTAGTTACATACAATCACCACTGCTGTAGGCATAGGGAGACTCTGCTGAACCGTCCCGCAGACTGTCCAGGATCTCTCCTTTCCCCACATCACTGTCTCCAACCAGCAAGAACTTCAGGAGGTAGTCATAACTCTTGACAGGGCTGCCCTGTGTAGCCATCATCCCACGCATTGGTACCAAGTTAAGACCGAGTTTGGAGATCCACTACTGTGCTGGGACTGCGGGTGGGAGAATTTCTGTGTGGAATTCCTTGTCAAACACTAAGGGCTAACGACGTTTTTTAATAGCTAACATTACTGTAGCTAACGTTAGCCACTGGGAAATTGAGGTTACTAGCTAGCAGTGTCGCGCATCACTAGTTACAAAAAATACGAGCATTGAGCACGAATTATCTCAAATTCCATCGTGTTTTCTTTGACAATCCTTTAGCTATCTGGTTAGCTATCTAGTATGTGAAAGAAAAATACCCCCTGCTAATAGCTAGCTTGCTAACGTTAGCTACCATGTTAGCTAACCTAAACTAATTTACGAAAACGTTAATTAGTCTGAGCCATTCTGCCTCTAAAACCAAATGTCCTCTACAATGTAAACATCTATTTTTGAAATGTTAATTCAAAACGAAAATGGTACTTCATAAATAAATAACCATGAATTGCCTTCGAGTACGCGTTAGTAGCTAAGCTATGCAAATAATTACAACTGGCTTTTGCCTTTGCCAGCATCAACATCCGGTTTGCCGGTCTTCTTCTTCTTCTGTGGATATTATATAGCGCTTGGCAACCAACTTTAAGGTGCATTACCGCCACCAACTGGACTGGAGTGTGGACCAGAACCAGTGAATGTCTAAATCCTACCCAATAATCTCGTCTCCCTAAAGAAACGAAATAGATAATTAAATACTACATCCCCTGAAGATTTCCCCAGCAGTTCACTTAATCCTGGCTCTTCAACCCCATTACTCCTCAAATCTAATAACAATCGCTCCCTTTCTCTCACATATTTCTGGAACTGAAATAGAACAAGTTCCACTGTCTCCATCTCCTCCTGACAATGATCACACATCCCAGTCTGATGTTTCCCCACCACTTTCAATGTACTATTTAGCCTTGTGTGTCCCAGTCTCAGCTTTATGACTACCCTTTCTCTCTGCCTGAGGACCTCCCTGCCCCCACCATTTCCTGGATCTTATACAGGTGTCGTCGTCGTCGTCTTCTTCTTCTTCTTCTTCTTCTTCTTCTTCTTCTTCTTCTTCTTCTTCGGTATAATGGCATTCGCAACAATTTGATGTGCATTAACCACCTACTGTGCGTGTTGATAATAAGGATCCCAAAAACGAAACAAAGCGGGGTGAAAAAATCATACGAACTATCAAAACATAAAAAAAAAAACGTAACAAAATCACCCTGCTTTTCTATCCTATTCAACTATTGCTGTACGTATACTATTCTATCCTATGTATTCTACATTTACATTTTACATTTACGTCATTTAGCAGACGCTCTAATCCAGAGCGATTTACAAATTGGTGCATTCACTTTATAGCCAGTGGGATAACCACTTTACAATATGTATTATTATTTTTTGATTATTATTTTTTTGGGGGGTGGGGTAAGGGGGGGTAGAAGGATTACTTTATCCTATCCCAGGTATTCCTTAAAGAGGTGGGGTTTCAAGTGTCTCCGGAAGGTGGTGAGTGACTCCGCTGTCCTGGCGTCGTGAGGGAGCTTGTTCCACCATTGGGGTGCGCTTCCGCAGAGGTAGGGGGGCCAGCAGGCCAGAGGTGGATGAACGCAATACCCTCGTTTGGGTGTAGGGACTGATCAGAGCCTGAAGGTACGGAGGTGCTGTTCCCCTCACAGCTCCGTAGGCAAGCACCATGGTCTTGTAGCAGATGCGAGCTTCAACTGGAAGCCAGTGGAGTGTGCGGAGGAGCGGGGTGACGTGAGAGAACTTGGGAAGGTTGAACACCAGACGGGCTGCGGCATTCTGGATGAGTTGAAGGGGTTTAATGGCACAGGCAGGGAGCCCAGCCAACAGCGAGTTGCAGTAATCCAGATGGGAGATGACAAGTGCCTGGATTAGGACCTGTGCCGCTTCCTGTGTAAGGCAGGGTCATACTCTCCGAATGTTGTAGAGCATGAACCTATAGGATCGGGTCACCGCCTTGATGTTAGCGGAGAACGACAGGGTGTTGTCCAAGGTCACGCCAAGGCTCTTCGCACTCTGGGAGGAGGACACAACGGAGTTGTCAACCGTGATGGCGAGATCATGGAACGGGCAGTCCTTCCCCGGGAGGAAGAGCAGCTCCGTCTTGCCGAGGTTCAGCTTGAGGTGGTGATCCGTCATCCACACTGATATGTCTGCCAGACATGCAGAGATGCGATTCGCCACCTGGTTATCAGAAGGGGGAAAGGAGAAGATTAGTTGTGTGTCGTCTGCGTAGCCATGATAGGAAAGGCCATGTGAGGATATGACAGAGCCAAGTGAATTGGTGTATAGCGAGAATAGGAGAGGGCCTAGAACTGAGCCCTGGGGGACACCAATGGTGAGAGCACGTGGTGCGGAGACAGATTCTCGCCACGCCACTTGGTAGGAGCGACCGGTCAGGTAGGACGCAATCCAAGAGTGAGCCGCGCCGGAGATGCCCAGCTCGGAGAGGGTGGAGAGGAGAATCTGATGGTTCACAGTATCAAAGGCAGCAGACAGGTCTAGAAGGACAAGAGCAGAGGAGAGAGAGTTAGCTTTAGCAGTGCGGAGAGCCTCCGTGACACAGAGAAGAGCAGTCTCAGTTGAATGACCAGTCTTGAAACCTGCAGGGAGGAGAACGTGGTAAAGAGTTTCCTAGGGTTAGAGGCAGATGCTTGGAATTTAGAGTGGTAGAAAGTGGCTTTAGCAGCAGAAACAGATGAAGAAAATGTATAGAGGAGGGAGTGAAAAGATGCCAGGTTCTAGAGATATACTACATATTCTATTCATATACTGTCCATAATGTCTATACATCCCATCATATATTCATTGCTCGTCCTAATATTTATATATTTCTTAATTCCATTCTTTAACTTTTTAGATGTGTGTCAAGCAACAATTCCATGGATGCTTTGGCCAAGACGACTACGACTACTACTACGACTACGACTACGACTACGACTACTACTACTACTACTACTACTACTACTACTACTACTACTACTACTACTACTACTACTACTACTACTACTACTACTACTACTTCTTCTTCTTCTTCTTCTTCTTCTTCTTCTTCTTCTTCTTCTTCTTCTTCTTCTTCTTCTTCATTCTTCTCGGTGATAGCCTTCCCCCCTAAATAACATTTGACTCACCTAATAATAAAGATGAAACCATATGCTAATACTCACGGTGATGGCCGATGCAGGCGTCTTGGCAATAGCCTGTCTCAAGATGAGCTAACCTTCTTTGAAAAACAGTGCTGCTATTTGCAAAATAATGGGAGTTGTTGAGATTTGTTTTCTTCTATATGGTTCTACAGACAGGTTAGTCTTCTCTTTTCAGAAGTAGGCTTTTGCTTTCCAAACTGTAAGTTTTTTTGTATTTTGAAATTGGCAAAAGGCAAACAGCTGTACCCAACCATAGACATATAATTCCCATTCAAGTCAGGACTGGCAGCCATTGCTAGTGTACCCATGAGATTGATAGTCAAATTGCCAGGGTAAGAGGTTCCAAAACCCTTCTATGGATGATATGTCTATAGCCACGATGCAACAAGCCGTATACAGTGCATTCGGAAAGTATTCAGACCCTTTTACTTTTTCCACATTTTGTTACATTACAGCCTTATAGTAAAATTGATTAAAAAAAAAATTTCCTCATCAATCTACACACAATACCCCGTAATGATAAAGCAAAAACAGGTTTTTAGACATTTTTGCCAATTTATATTAAAAAAACAACAGAAATACCTTATTTACATAAGTATTCAGACCCTTTGCTATGAGACTCGAAATTGAGCTCAGGTGAATCCTGTTTCCATTGATCATCCTTGAGATGTTTCTACAACTTGTTCGGAATCCACCTGTGGTAAATTCAATTGATTGGACATGATTTGGAAAGGTACACACCTGTCTGTATAAGGTCCCACAGTGCATGACAGAGCAAAAACCAAGCCATGAGGTCGAAGGAATTGTCCGTAGAGCTCCGAGACAGGATTGTGTCGAGGCACAGATCTGGGGAAGGACAGAGCTCCAGAGTTCCTCTGTGGAGATGGAAGAACCTTCCAGAAGGACAACCATCTCTGCAGCACTCCACCAATCAGGCCTTTATGGTAGAGTAGCCAGACGGAAGCCACTCCTCAGTAAAAGGCACATGACAGCCCACTTGGAGTTTGTCAAAAGGTACCTAAAGGACTCTCAGACCATGAGAAACAAGATTCTCTGGTCTGATGAAACCAAGATTGAACTCTTTGGCCTGAATGCCAAGTGTCACGTCTGGAGGAAACCTGGCACCATCCCTACTGTGAAGTATGGTGGTGGCAGCATCATGCTGTGGGGATGTTTTTCAGTGGCAGGGACTGGGAGACTAGTCAGGATCGAGGGAAAGATGAACGGAGCAAAGTACAGAGAGATCCTTGATGAAAACCTGCTCCAGAGCGCTCAGGACCTCAGACTGGGGCGAAGGTTCACCTTCCAACAGGACAACGACCCTAAGCACACAGCCAAGGCAACGCAGGAGTGGCTTCGGGACAAGTCTCTGAATGTCCTTGAGTGGCCCAGCCAGAGCCCGCACTTGAACCCGATCGAAAATCTCTGGAGAGACCTGAAAATAGCTATGCTGCAACGCTCACATTTTATTTGTCACATACACGTGTTTAGCAGATGTTATTGCGGATGTAGCAAAATACTTGTGATTCTGGCTCCGACAGTGCAGTAATATCTAACAAGTAATATCTAACAATTTCACAACATATACCCAATACACACAAAACTAGTAAGGAATGGAATTAAAAATATATACATATATGGACGAGCAATGACAGAGCAGCATGGATTAAGATACAGTAGAATATTATAGAATACAGTATATACATGTGAGATGAGTAATGCAAGATATGTAAACATTATTAAAGTGACTACTGTTCCATTTCTTAAAGTGGCCAGTGATTTCTATAGGCAGCAGCAGCCTCTAATGTGCTAGTGATGGCTATTTAACAGTCTGATGGCCTTGAGATAGAAGCTGTTTTTCAGTCCCTCTGTCCCAGCTTTGATGCACCTGTACTGACCTCGCCTTCTGGATGATAGTGGGGTGAACAGGCAGTGGTTCGGGTGGTTGAGGTCCTTGATGATATTTTTGGCCTTCCTGTGACATCGGGTGCTGTAAGTGTCCTCGAGGGCGGGTAGTTTGCCCCAGGTAATGCGTTCGGCAGACTGCACCACCCTCTGGAGAGCCCTGCGGTTGTGGCTGGTGCAGTTGCCGTACCAGGCGGTGATACAGCCCGACAGGATGCTCTCAATCTGTAAAAGTTTGTAAGGGGTTTTAGGTGCCAAGCCAAAATTCTTCAGCCTCCTGAGGTTGAAGAGACTCTGTTGTGCCTTCTTCACCACACTGTCTGCGTGGGTGGACCATTTCAGTTTGTCAGTGATTTGTACGCCAAGGAAGCATGTGACAAATAACAGTTGATTTCATATGACTTTAGTCTCAAACGAGCCCATTCACTTTCAATTTAAGGAAAGCGAGAAAAGCAGAGT